GTATTAACTAAAACTAGACTAAACTGATCTACAAAAACTAATACAAATTTTATTAAATTTATTTATTTATTTTTTAATTATGAAAATCGACTAAAAATGCCTATAATCGACGAAAAACGATCGTTTTTTTTTTCATCTTGAGCACAAGATGTGAAGTGCGCCACCAACATTAATTTTTTTAAACCTTACATTGCTTGCATGCATGCAACAAGCGAAGTAAGCAGTGTGCAGAAAAAAAAATCGCTCACATTGGTTTGTTGACGTAAGTCACGGGCGATGCAATCGGTAGTTAAGGCGAACATATTTAATTTGGTTCTTTTTAGATAATAAACAATGTTTCAGATATGATAATAATAATTTATTATGAAGCGTAGACAAATAATAGGTTACAACCTAGGCTTCAATTGGCAGATGTTTTAGGCCTAGCCTACTAGACCCTAGCCCAGCTAGTCTGGCTAGGCCTAGTACTGTAGTAGTAGACCTCCTAACCTAGGCCTAGGCTAGGCCTACTACTGCACCAGCGGCCGCCTACAAAACGTCTAGCCCCAGCTTTAAAAGACCAAGGCCTCTCAAAATAAATATTGTACCTGTCTCTTATACACATCAGAGTTTCTGTTATGGCCTTTTTCTGTCAAAGATTTGGCTTGCTACCAATGCAGTTTTTGAAATCTCTAGGCCTACCCCTAGCTAAGCCTGCCTAGGCTAGCTAGGCCAAGGCCAGTCTGGCAAAAAAAACCAAAAAAAAAAACTCCCCCACTCTCCCGCCCCTGAATATTTCTGAGGGTGTGACACTAAACAAGTATATTTTTGTAAATTTTCAAAATAATATGATATAAAATTGATATAAAATAAATTTTATTTATAATTATATTATTTTTAAAAATTCCAATAAGCAGTATATATTTGATATGAAAACAAAATTACAGATACAAAATAAAAATTAAATGAATGATAAACTTAACTTATTTTAAAAAATAAATTAAGTATAATATTATATTTTTATTTTGTATCATGATTTTTTTTCTTCATATTAAAAAATTTTCTGACACTGAAGTGAATAAATGTACAAGGTATAGAAATCGATTTTTTATACTCACTTGGCTATTTCTTTGTGATAATTATTGTACTACACTCACCATAACAGAAAATATTATATTAAAACATTTAACACACAAATTTATAGAAATACATCATTAGTTATTTTCATACAATTTATTTTCCGAAAATAATGTGTTGAGTTGGTATCAATATATTTTACTAGTTGAGAAGCTCATTTTGCTAGTTACATTTTTAACAACTAGCACATTTTAGCAATAGGTTGCTAGTGGCTGAAAAAGTAAATTTCTAGCCCTGACACTTTACTGTAACAATATTTGTTGAGGAACTTAATCTGTGTTTTACTAGCTGAATATGAAATCGAAATATATCATTATAGTTCCTTGTACTACAATACATTATTTTGATTGCATAAACAGTATAGTTAAGCATGTACTCATTCTTGACATGTTGACAACTTATACCAAGTTTAATGCATTACATGTAATTCTCACACATTAGGATCAGACTTGCTTCACATGTCTACTTGAAAATATCTCATGCATAACCTACAGTACAATACATAGGCTACTTTATAAAAGATATAATGTGCATGTCACAACAATTCCTGAAATACATTAAATTACTGTTTATGTCATGTGTAGACTTCTGTAATATCTAGATACTGCCTGGAGATGTATTTTAAACTGATAAATTCCTATAAGATAGAGAAGACACTAAAACAAAAGTATAGTAGGATGCTAATAGGTACAATCGTCTTAGAATAAAGTTTATTGTTCCACACAACAATAATACAATAATGCTTTATCAATAAAAGTGAAATTTATAATGTATAGGCCTACTGTACTAACATGTCCCCTTGCAGTAAGCCTCCTAGCTGTAATGGCTACCCTCTTAAAATAGAGTATTACTGTAATAAAAAAAGCATAATAATAACAAAAACAGGTTAACGATTGCTAAACATAATAAAAACATCAATAAATTGTATTC